TAATGAATTTTTAGGCTCAGTTTTTATTTTTAAATACTTAGATTAATTTTAACAAATACATGAAATATAAAAATTGTACACATTAATGGGCTAACATGATACTTTCTTTTTTTCTGATGATAGTACTCTACTTTTCTTCATTTTTCTACTATCCCACTAGACTCTGCACGTCTATTTTTGTTTAAATTTAAAATTTTGCCTATTTTAATACAATTAGATTATCAACAAAGAGTTAAGATTTATTACCAATTCTTTCTCATTCTAAATCAGAATATCCTAAAGCTTAAGGCATTCTTGGGCCAAAAGGCAGGCATATTTGAAAGTAGTCATCATTTAGATTTCAGAGCCTAAAATGTTTAACAACTCAATTTATAATTAGTAAGTACTACAATAGTTGATAAATATGACTTCTGAAACAGCTGCTTTTCAAAAAATACAAAAGGAAGCATGAGTTCTGTTATTAACTATCTTTCTGGGTTGAGAAGACAACTGTCACCATTTTATGTTGTTCCCCAAATAATTGTTTTAGCAATGTCAAAGTACATTCGTGTTGTGGCCCGACAGTGGAACACTTGTTTTAAAAATCTGACAAAATGTAGATTGGTAGTGAGGCTGAATTCTTTGCTTGGAAGAAGTGGCTATTTTTAGTTCTATCTCCTCTCTTCTGTGCCACCTATGTTTCCAGTGCTTGTCATTTGGGTCTTAATTCCTGTTTCGTCCTTTTGTTCTGTTTCATTTTATCTTGCTTTGCTTTGCTTTCCTTTTTTAGTGAAGAGCCCAAAATCTGACATAAGATAATTCTCAGTCCGAAGCGTGATGGGAAGGCTCAGGAGGGTTTCAGGGTGAATTAAGCAAGGAAATGGGAAAAACACATTTAAAAAATATGGTGAAGGTTACAATTAACTTGGTGGACGTGCCACCTCTTCACCCTTGGTAGATCTCCAGACTTGGACTTTAGATTCTTCGTTGGTACCTGCTCCCGATCCGTGTTGCCACAGGTATGAAGAGCGAGCTGCTCTGGCCCCCAAGCTTAGGCATTGAGGTGTATGTTAGTCAGCGTTCCATTGTTACTGCAAAATACCCCCCCGAAAAGGCGGAAAAATTAGTCTGGTTTACAGTTTTTGAATTTTCAGCTCGTGCGACTTGGGTACACTGTTTCTGGACCCATGGTGAGGCAAAGCATCATAGGGGAAGTATATGGCAGAGGATAGCTCCTCACCTCATGGGAGCCAAGAAACAGAGAGACAGAAACGGGAGGAGATAAGTGGAAAGGGTGGAAGAGTCCCAGAACAAAACAAACCCATAGAGGGCGCGGTCCCAGTGAGATGCTTCTTCCAACTGCACCCCACCTCCTCAGACTTCCACCACTTTCTAACAGCCCATTAGGCTCTGTGTCCATACATTGATTAATCCCTTCATGACAGCAGAGCTCTGGTGATTCAATCGTATACCAACAGCCCAGCCTCTGAATACTGCTGCACTGGGGTCTAAGCCTTCAGCCTTTCAATATATGAGATTTGGGGACAAGGAGTTAAGGATCCTAACTGTAGCATTCTTCCCCTTGAACCCAAAAGCTTATGTCCATCTCACAATGAAAACTGCATTCAACACATCTCTATAAGTTCTCACAGTCATAACATGTTCTGCATTACTCAAAAACCCAAGTCCTAAGTTCCTCTGAGACTTAAGGCAACTGTTATCTCTGAGCCCCTGGAAAAATAAAAATACAACTTTTACATTTCCGACAGACAATAGGACAGGTGCAGGTTAAACATATGTGTTTCAAAGCAGGGGAATAGTGGAATAGAAAGAAGGGATTGTACCAAAGTAAGACTAAAACTCAAAAGGGCCAACATTACATTCTGGAAACCCATGGTCAGAATCTGAGAAAGGTGGTGGTGTCCTGTAAACCCCAAAGCATTTAGACAGCCCTATGTCCTTGCTATGTTCTTGCCAGTAACAGCCCACATGATCTGTCTCTTAGGCCAGTCCTGCTCACTGCCTAGAGGTTTCCTTGGCAGACTTTTCATATTTCGAGTATCTCTACCTCCCCTGGCTCTGCACCGCAACTTTTAGTTTCACTCACAGCTTAACGTATCACCATTTTAGGAACTGTTTGCTGGGTCTCTGACATCTCACACTGCCTTCTAAATTTAAATGGAAGACTTCACACCCCATACAACTCTAGATTTTTGCATGCAAAATCAGTACCACTTGGACAACACCAAGGTCTGCTGCCATTGGGAGCAATAGCCGGGCCCTCTTGACATACGGCTACAGTGACTTCTGAGTGCCCGAATGGATCATCTTGGGGAAGTAATTCCATCAGTGGCAATGCATACATGAGCAGGGTGAACTAAGGCTTTTTTCTTTTGAAACCAGTTTATACTTTGGCATCCCTGAGGTTACAATGGGTGGGACCTAGGCAATTCCTTGAATATCCTCAAGATAGTGTTCCGATTTTCCTGGTGCCAAGTACTGAGCTTATTTTAATGGTGCTAAACTCTGTAGCACTCATACCCCCCCTTGCTACAGTCTTACACGACCTTCTTCTTTTCTGGCCATAATGCATATTGTTTCAATTTTTTGCACTATGTTTTTTGTTTCCAATTTTCACTGTAAATCTAAAGACAGCAACTGACACCCATGCCACAGCATGAATGGCGTACCGCCTTGAAATTACCTTTGTCAGATGAATCCGTCTATCACTTATAAATTCAGCTTTGTGCCAAGTCTCAGGGCAAGGGAAAAATGTAGATGAGTTTTTGCCAGAGTGTAACAAAAATAGCTCTGTATTAGTCAGCTTTCTCATTGCTGACACCCAGGGCAGGGGACCAGCCTGCTAGGAATGACTAACCAGAGGGGTGAACAGAGATCAAAGACACCAACACAGAAATAATTTAGAATGAGGGGAACAAGGGCTCTTGCCTCCAGTGCACAAAGAGTGTTTGGCTCACCTCACTTTTATTCACTCAGACAAGGGAGTGAGCTATTAGGTTAAGAGATGATTCATCTGCCTTTTGTTGTCTACAGCATGTTCCCAGGTAAACATCCAGATCTCAGCTGTATCAATCCTTCCCTGGAATTTGCAATGCGCTAGCAGGGCCTTCACATTGCCAAAGGAGGCACAGCTTTCTGCTTTTTCTCTTTTGTGCTTTCAGAGCAGGTCAATTAGATTTCAATCCCCATCATCTGGTGTAGCGGGCACACGTCAAGGTATAGGATGCAGAGAACATAACGCCTCCCAAATAGAGTACAATGTCAGTGTGTTCCCAAGAGTGGAGAGTGAAACCCACCAAAAGTGACAATGTGGGAAACCTGATATGTGATCCCCCCAAGAGTAAGAGTGATATCTAACCCAATAGATCACCCTATGATGCATGTAACCCTTTTATCTAAATTCAATGTGTGGAACCCTATGACTTGTGCAGCCCCAATATCTACTCAAACAGCCCCAACATGTGTGAAGTGATAAAACCCAAACCAGTGCCACAGACCCCAGTTAGAATGGTATAAAAGAGAGAGTGCAGAAGACCAGCTTGTCCCACTCGGTGACCGAGCCAGCTCAGTAGCAACCTGCCAGACGAGATCTCGGATGAGACCTCATTGGAGACATCAGAAGCCTGCCCGGACTGCACCCCCGGATCGAGGAGGAGGCAACCGGATCGAACACCGCAATCATCAGGAAAAGAGAAACAAAGTCGCGCTCCTTGGACTTGTGCAGATACAGGGAGTGGCAACCGGCGGGTATGAATTAACATGTTTGATGTGTGACAGATATAAAATATATAAAAATCTAGTTGGCAACTACTCCTGTCTCCACCTCCAGTTAGTGCACACTCCTGCTCGCGACATCTGGTCTCCTAAAACATAGTATCTGACACTCACATTGTAAGGAGGAGAGGATTCATCCATGATTTCTGGCTCCAAAGCAGAAATATGTAATGAAAGAACATGGGAGAGCAAAGATGCTTAGTTCATGGAGGCCAGGAAGCAGAGCCGAAGAAGAAAGAGAAAGGGGTAAGGGACTCCAAGTTCACGCCTCCATGACACTCTCAGACACACCTAAAAATGTGCTTTACTAATCCCTTGGCATCTCACAAGCCAATCAAATAAATACACTTAAACTGTGTCACTACATTTCATCCCAGTTCTAGGCACCAATTTTCTGTATTATTGTATTAGTGTGAAAAAAAATGCCTGAGAAAAGCAACTTAGAATGAGGAAAGCTTTATTTTAGCTCACACTTTCAGATGTTTCCATTCATAGTCCCTTATCTCCGTTACTTTGGGCTCACGGCAAGGCAAGTCATTGTGGTGAAGACTTGCACACTGCACATGGAGAAGCAGAATTGTTCACCTTATGGTGGCCAAGAATCAATTGTTGCTTCTACAACAATTTCAACCTATGGCACAAAGGAAAGAGGAATCAATGTAATTTTGGGAAGAGGATGCTGTTTCAGAGAAGTTTGCACAGGGCACTGAAGGGTGACCACAGGGTGACGAGGAAAAAGGTAACAGAAGAGGAGAACAGTCACATCAGTGCCAAAGAGATTGGAGCATGAGGCCAAGGATGTGCATTCCATGAGGAGAAGACTTATACTGTGTCTGACAGAAAATAATATATAATAAATGACACAGGTTGAGACAATCAAAGTGTATTAGAAATAAGATACACAGTGGTGCTAATTGTGACTGGAACCAGGTTGGTGAAGTTAAATTGTGACAGAACCAGGTATAATCTACACTGCTAAAAGACTGAGGGAAGAAAACACTGGTAGAAGAGATTTAAGAAAGGTGGAGATACTCTAAAATATTGGGTGAAATTCCTCAAGACTTTGTATCAACTTTGAAGACACAAGAAATATGAACTGCAGTAAGTCAAAAAAATCCCCTCAGAATTCAAATGTATCTTTACCATTACAAATTGGATGAACTAAAATAGTCTGAAAAATTAACATTCAAAGCCACAGAGAGGAAATGCATTTACATTCTGCCATATGCCATAGGACTGCAAATTTTGAAAAATTTGCCTCGTACACTGATCAACATCTTTTTCAATTAATTACCCAATTACTTCACAAATTATATACTCGCTACAAGTTGTGCTATGTTAAGATATTTAAAGCACTTTTCTTTCTTGTAAGTATAAAAAAAAAACCTCTACACTGATTTCATGTGACTGAACACTGTGAATTGCGAGATTTTCATTTAATTCATTAAGTATTGTTTGAGATGTATATTTTGCTCTTAAAAGATTTTATGGGTATGAAATATACTAATTGTCCTCTCTGTCTCTCTGTTTCTGACTCTGTCTGTCCCTTTCTGTCTCTCTCTCTCTCTCACATACACACAAAGATATCAAATAATACTCCTATTTTTCAGCAAATAAATTTTGTGATTCTGCCTTAAAGAAATTAAACTTTTGTTACCATTGGAATTGATTTTAGTCTTTCTTACTAAATATTTCAAACAAGAAAGTAAAAGTCATCAATGGAGTAATAAACATTTTTATCTTGTTACAGAAGAATAGAAACTGGGAATTTACTAATCATTTTCCTATTTAAATCCTAATATATGCTTAACTTTCAGATCCTAGTTCGTGGCTGAATCATCACAAAAACATTGAGAAGCAGTCCTGGGAATAAGCAAGGAAATCTTGCAAATTATGATCGAGATAGCTTAAAATACTTCAAAAGCAAAGATAAGTTGAATGTTCTTTTACCTGAGATTTTCACTTATTGAAATAATGAAAAATAATATTTCTCTAAGTAGCAATCACCATTATTTACAGTATTGACGTATTTTTAAAAGCAGATTTGTTTTATGTAAAGGAGAGCAGACCACTGTTTCCATCCTTCTGTTAATACAGTAGAATACGTATGTATGTGTAAGATGAGAGCACCAGAACAGAAGAGAAAGCCAACTAATCACTCATATGTATACTTTTAGTTTCTTTTCTATCCTAAAATGTCACTAATTCAGCTTCCATTATGACAGCTTTTTGTCTAAATAAGACGCCATATCATATTAAGTGTGTGCACTGTTTGCTTGAATTATGCAAATATCAGAAATCCAGAAATATGAAACATGCTAATAGGATTGGAAAATCTTAATTTCTGCAAACATAGCAACAGGTTCCCTGGGGACTACGCGCGTGTCCGCAGTCATGTACAGCTCTGTTCTGTGCACACAGGTGAGGAGGGGACACAGACGGGGAGATGGCTGCTCCTGGCTCGGTGTGCGTACACCTTTCTCAAAGTCTCTCGCAGGGTTCAGCTGCGGATGCCTCCGGCGTTTAGCTGCAGGGTGCAAAAAATGAGACAAATTCCCGCCCACACATCAGTACTCTCGTATCTTAAAACACCTGTCATCTAAAATATAGTTTTTTAAAAATTCTAAGTACAGATGAAAATCTGTTACATAATGTGGAGAAGGCAGACAGAGGGTCGGTCCAAGGGCAGCGCTCTCTAAGGGACATTTGTAGGTGCGCAGAGCAGGGGCAGGCGAGTGAGGGTCAGCTCTCAAGTTCGCCTCCCCTGAGTTGCTGCTGTGCTTCCCACAGTCGCTGCGAAGCTCATATCTGTGTCGAGTTCTTGATGCTGTGGTGCCCTCTAAAATATTAATTACCTAGAACCAAGAAAGAACAGAGGGGTGGAATAACAGAAAATGAAAATCATATCGGCATCTTTTGAATTGCTTGGTTCCCCGGCCATGGGGAAGATACTGCCGCGGAGAACTGTGCAGATTTTCTCCCTTCAGATGACCCGCTAGTACTGTGCTTTTCGATGCTCGGGATCTGGATCCTGAGAGAAGGCAGAGACAGTCCGCTTACTTAGTGTGCTTTGGAGTCACATGTGGATAATTTGCCCTGCAAGCCCAGAGGAATAACAAGGCTCTGTGTGGTTTACGCCCCGGCTGTCCGGAGGCCCCCATCGGGTGGATTACACCCACCCACTGTCCTCATCTCGGGAAGCACAGAGCGGCACCCGTCTGGGGAGAGGGTTCCTACTGGGTCTAAGGGAAGCTCCAAGCCTGTCTGGTTTTGCTAACTGTGACTGGAATGGAGTTCGTGTCAAAAATGCAAAGTGTGTGACTACTGCCACAAAGGGTATTTTAGAAGTTGAACTTCAGCAAATGAAGTTTATAAAAATAAAATCTTGAGTATAAAGAATAAGCTAATTGTTAGAAACTGTGAACATGTAAGTGTTTATGGTTACATTTTCATGGACACACGCACCTCCTTCAGGCGTTCCTCTCCCTCCCTCTCTCCATCCTCAAGGTTTAACACACTTTGGTGTACAGAGTAGACACTTAATAAACTGTTACTGAATTATTTGTCCCTTCAGTTTCCATGACTTGCTACTAGGATACCAAGATGAAAGAAATGTAGATCATATTTCTAAAGAGCTACCAGTCTGGGACTGTAAATAGCATACATAAAATATAGGTGAATATAAGACATAAAATAATAAGAGAAACTGTAAAGAGGAAAGTGGAGGTAGAGATGAAATTCAATGAGATGTTCCAAGGGAGAAGGGGAAATGGAAAAAGCCCTCACAAAAAACGTAGAGGCTAATGGTTACTGCACAAAACAAAATCAGCTAATGATATAGTATTATTTTGGAAACAAATACTGTACGATAAGAAAAGGAATTTCATTTGAAAGGAATTAGGTTTCCTGAACTACTGGAACATCGGAATGTCTAAAAAATCTTTCAGATGTTTTCTCTGCATTCATCTACACAATATTGTCCTTCTGGTAAATTTATGCTTTTCCAAGCCACACCTCTTGCACACATATAAAGTATAAACTTTTGTTCATTTGTTTGTTTATTGAATAAGCATGTACCATAACTATTTTACTGCAGTATACTAAAAGCAAAAAGTAATGATTAAAAGTAAAGCACACAACCCATCTCCTCAAGAAGTTTGCTGCTTACTGAGTGCACACATGCAGGCATCCGTAATTAAGGTAAAAGTTGCTACTTGTAAACATTCACAGTTGTGTCTGGCTTGTCCTATACCTTTTGACATGGAAATGTCCGTATGCATGGCTCACCAATTTTATCCCAGTTAAAACACAGATGATCTCTACCTCAACAATAGAACTGGTGTCTCACGTTAGCAAAGCACGTCAGGGTCAGTCCTTTGACATTACAAAGCTGGGGCTTTACACTTCTCTGGCTTTTTATCAGAGATCATAGAAAGTTAGAGCTTTATTCTGAAAAAAATTTTTTTTTTCTTCTTGGTACCAGGATTGAACTCAGGATCTTGTGCTTGAGAAGCAGGTGGCAGCACCACTGAGCTAAATCCCCAGCCCTGCAAATATTTATTACAGTAAAGTTACTCATGACTGTAAATTAAGGTAAAATGCAAATGTCTTTGATAAACCTACATCTGCTAAATGTGGGGAAACTACATAATTGAAGTCTCATTGTAAATATATCTTTGGAGGGATATTTCTACACTTGTTCCTGAGGCCATTTTTTATTACAGTAAGAAAGATGATAAAACCATGACACAGTTTAAGATATCAAGATATAGCCTTTTTCAGGAGGTAAAATACAACCAAAAATTTTATGGATTATGATTTTTTTTACTCTTACACTGTTTCATTTCATCATGTACATTACCTATTTGGTAAAACTTTATGATCTAGTCTTTATATTTGAGCTATGCCTTTAAACTCTGGAGAAATAGGCAATGGAGAAGACTTTGGATAGCCTGAACATGAAAACATAGGACTGACTAGACTAAATGTAAAATCTAGAGATAATTTAAGCCGAAATGTATACATTTGGTAGCCAGAGAAAAGCAAAGTTGAGATAGAAGATGAGAATAATTAGAAGCTGCATTATTCATAATAGGTTTAATATCCCATTATTGCCTAAGTAAAGACAACCAGAGATCTGTGCAGTTCCCAATTTTTGTGCTTGACATATTCCTCCTAAGACCAACTTACTAATGCTTATTAATGTCATTTTCCCCTTTGCATTTGTGTGGCAAATGGCTTTGTCCTCTTTTTGTTGCAAGCTCATGACTATCCACTGCAGGCCCTTTTTCTGTAGCTACTCACAATCATAATTTATTCATCCAAAGGTGTTTGCCAGCCAACACTGGACAAGGTTGTTCACTTAAAGAAAGAAATAACTCCTGAGGAAGGATCTTTTCCTCTTTGATGCTATTAAAGCACAGGCTTGGTGATTAATCTGCTAAAGTGATCGTGTCCTCCTTCAAATGCCTTCTTACCCAAACACAAATGAATCACATAAGGACCTACAGTCATGCCCTTGATTACTGGGTTCATTTCATTGTTATTTTTGAAAGACTATGGGGATCTGAATATGTAAATTGAGGCGATAAATGGAAGTCTGTCACCACAGTCTCCATTCGCCTACATTCTCTGCTATTCCCCCAAGCTGTTTTGCACCTGACTAGTTGCGCAGTTTTAGTTCCCACTAAAACAGGTGTGACACTTCAACAAAAACCAATTTGTGCCTGAAATTGGGACTATGGAAATTCTACAGTGGCACCCAGAAGTCAGCTAAGGCATTGCGGAAGGCCTGTGAGGAACACAAAATAAAAACATGTGACATGCAGTGCTCCCCTCAGAGCTCCACCTTGAACATTTTTAAGCTCCAGAAGCCAGCTTCACAGAGCTTTGTCAGGACATAACTTACAAAACCAAGCTTGGCACATGGCAGTGTATCACTTTGAAAGATTTCCTTAGGAATGGAAATATTCCCAATCACAAATACAGTCATCTCCATAGTAATCAGAATTTTTAGCAAGTAAAAGAATAACAAACATTAGACATTTTCCTCCTCTGGAAGCTATCAGCTCTAAAAGTCAACATATAACAAAGAGATTCCCTTTCAGATTCAATATTGCATATTGATTGGGGAAATAGTGGGTTTTGCCTCTAAAAGGGAAGAAAAAAGATAAAATTAGGGTAAGGATTCAAAGGAAAGGAAAGGAGTTCAATGTCCTCAGAAAATAACTGCCTTATAAAGTATCATTACTGCTACCATCAGTAATAACATTCCCCAGATTTTCAAATGGCTCCCTAGAGCGCATAATCACGATAGGCAGTGAGCCCTTCTTTTTCTGTGAGTGCACACCTTTCAGCACAGTCCACGCTTCTTCCTATGTACGAAGGTTTCAGCTCTCAGAATGATGCCATTCACTTAGACAGAATTTGCCAGCTTTGCTAGGGAATCCTGTAGTCAGGTTCCAGTTCACACCTGCCCAGTGCACAACGCAGGCCTGAGAAAATACATTAGGAGACAGAACTAGGAGAGAGAAAGCGGGGAACAGGACAACCAAGGCCTGTGTATCTGACAAATGCGCTGGACAGTCCCAGGCACTGACTTTTATTGGCCATCAGCTGGGGTAATGTGTGGTTTCTATGGAAATTAATGTAAACAAGTTTCATAAAGGACAAGACAAAGCATTCCCAAATTAGGAACAGAATAGACAAAATATATTATTGTAATTGGAACACTGTTGTTCTAGTCTGAAAGTTTCAGTTGTGGGAATGGAATTTGGGTGCAAGTTACTCTGACCTCAGCACATAGGTTTCAGCCAGACTTACTTCTGTAAACAAGCCAGTTGTGAGGCTAAGTCATCACAGCCTGCTTTGGGCACAATCAGTATTACCGTTCTCTCCAAACTTGAGCTTTCAGCACACAGAGAAGAGTACTAGTATGTTCAGGTTTCAAACTGTGAGTACATGGATAAAGAAATTGATCCTCTTTAGCACCCAGATAAATGAATTACACCGAAGGAGCAAGACCAGTCCCCACCACAGCTCAGCAGCTTGACTCAGGGTCAGCCCAAGCAGGCGTAAGTGTCTGAGGGGGCTCCCATTGCTCTGGCTTGTGATTTTAACAAGAAAAGCTAGGGAGGGGTGATAGTTGACACCTGGAAACTTGATATAACATACATTGGTAAACATCTCCCCTCAGTATTACTGTTTAGTATTCCATGTAGAGCAGATAAGAGAAGTAGTGGCCCATGGAGATAAACAATAAATAACCTGAAAATTTACATGCAAAAAGGAATCTGTACTCTAAGGATAGTTGCTTTACCAAGATTCAAAATGTGCTCTATTTAACAGCTAGAAAAACAGCCTGCATTCCAACTGAGATGCACTCAAGATACAAAAATTGTGGCTGAAAGTTATACCTACTTGTGTTTTGCAAGTCTATTAGGTTCTGAATATTTCTTATACTATTAATTATCTTCTATACCTACCACACTACTGAAAACTTAGATATGATTTGGGAGTCTGTTCAGTAAAGTAACTGCTCATTCTCAGCAGGCTGGTCTTGCAGTGCATTTCTGAATAAATAGATGTTGTAAAATATCTTTTCCCATCTCCCTCAGCTCATCCTTGTCACGTCAAACAGCCTTCTCTTTGCTGGGGTCTTCGCTATACAAGCACAATGCCAATTAATTGATTATCTTTGCCGCAACCTGGTCAACAATAAGCTCATTGTTTTAAAGCACACAAAATAACCCAAACAGTTCAATTAAGAGAGAAGGAGCAAATGGATTTAGTTCTTCTTTGAATTGCAATCAACCAGTTTTTCTACACTATGTACTCAAAAGGGATGAATTCTAAC